AATTCGATTCTGGCAGCTTTGTCATATACTAACCTAACCTAAACTCACAAGCGGAGATCGAACCAACTAGCAAATGCAAACAAATTCGATTCTGGCAGCTTTGTCACATACTAACCTAACCTAAACTCACAGGAGGAAGTCGAACCAACTAGCAAATGCAAATAAATTCGGTTCTGGCAGCTTTGTCATATACTAACCTAACCTAAACTCACAGGCGGAGGTCGAACCAACTAGCAAATGCAAACAAATTCGATTCTGGCAGCTTTGTCACATACTAACCTAACCTAAACTCACAGGAGGAGGTCGAACCAACTAGCAAATGCAAACAAATTCGGTTCTGGCAGCTTTGTCATATACTAACCTAAACCCACAGGAGGAGGTCGAACCAACTAGGAAATGCAAACAAATTCGGTTCATTCACCGTTGCACCTAAACACCACTGAAATTATATTTATAATACATTATATACCACTTTCCACTTAACATCAGGTGGAGTGGAGTCATTTGCCTGTCAAGTATAAAAAAAAAAAAAAAATTATATAAGTTAAGTTTTCACGCAAAATAGGCGCCTTGACGTCGAGTTGCGGAAACTAGCCCGTTGCACCAATACCAATAATACATTATATTCAGTGAATGTTAGACCTGAATTGTTTATATAAAATGAACATTATGCCATCAGTATATTAGGTTGAAAGTTGTTATAGCAATCGTCTATTATACCCAGTGACCTTTATATCATGCAAGAATATGTCTAATGTCTGTATACCATAAATTAATTGTATGTGTTGAGCGTTATACCGACTAAAAATATGTCATTTGTTGTTATATATTACGAATCGCACCCGGCCATGGGACCTGTAAAGGGCCCGATAATTTTGGTATTTATGGAAAAACAAATACTTGCACGCGATTTAAATAAAAAAAAATAGTTTCATTTTGTATACATAACAATCGATAAAACCTAAGAACTCGATTTGTTCATGTCCATTCATAATCTGTACAATATGCAAGGCTGTATCGATATTATTGTAGGAAAAAAAACAGTTTTCTCCAATGTGCGAAAACTTTCACAAATTCATTGTGTTCGTCTATAATGTTCACATTTTACGTACTTGGCAAGTTTGTGCGGTTTCAGAAGAACATTGTGATATGTTCGGGCACGAACTTCACGCACAGCCGTGAACATGGGCTCGGTCAGATTGTCTGTCGATATCCGCATCTCACTTGCTATTATATTCACAAGCAACTGTAACAAATAAGCACAGTGTCGAACATATTTTACTTATCGAACCAATTGTATAGACTACGTTCGAGTTGGTTCATGGTTCACAATTTCATATTGATTACTCAAGTTCCAAAAATAAAAATTGGAAGTAAATGGCTACTCCGTAAACCCACTGAAGATTAGAGGTAAATTGTGCAAAATAGCTGTGTGTGTGTGTTCAATATATTTTTTTCATGCAATTACTTTTCGCACTCTCCCTCCACTAAAACTTAATAAAATAAAATAAAAACACCGCCACTAAAAATATACCCGACACGTGTTTCGCCTCTCTATAGGCATCCGCAGGAGATGTACACTGTTCGATGTTCGAGCGAAGCATTTTATGAATTTTGAGGGGAAAGTGGGTGGTAAAGTTAACTACATGACAAAAAGTCAACACATGCAAAGCAATTTATTTTGATTTTTATTATCATGGATTTCCGCAAAGTAACCCCTAAATCTATTAATGACACAAGTTACTCTGCAGCTACGTTTTTTAAATATTTAATATATCCTCATTTGAATGCTGGTAAGCAATAACGTGTCAACCAACATGATCATAGTTTTGCAAAAATGGTTGCTAAAGATTTTTTCGTTGTTTGTTCTGCCGACCTCAAAAGTTCGTGGAATTACATCTATTAGCCAAGTTTTATTGAAATCGGTTACCGGAAAGTGCGCGAAACCGGATTCATCCCCTACTTTGTCATCATTGAAGGTGGAATATTTTATGCAAATTTAAATGGGACCACTGCTGAAGTACCTTCTTTCCAACAAAAAAATAAATCATCAAAATCGGTTCACACAGAAATAACATAACTTACATATAAAAATAAAGAACCTCCTCCTTTTTTGAGGTCGGTTAAAAATGGAAACTTTTGCTGTTGTCATCTCAGTAGGGCTGGCACGACAAGGCGCGACTTGCGCGAGACCTTCATAAAGCGTGACATCTCCGTACCGAGATAGCCGTACAGGAATGATGGATTGTTGTGATATATTACTATAATTCCCCAACAACAACAAGCACAACAGCAAAAGTTTTAATTTCATAATAAAATTTTAGAACAATCAATAACAACGAAAATTCGTTAAGTGCCATTTTCGCAAAATTACGATCATGTTGACACGTTATTGCTTACCAGCATCCATTAATCTCCACAATACAAAGCAAAGGAAAATTACGTTAGAGATACATAATTATTACTTAAACTTTAAGCGATGTATTATGTTCCCGCATGGCTGGATTGACTGGAGTCATAGATGAGTATAAGTACTTATAGATAGCCATCTTTACAATTAAAGGGACACGTGTATTTACTTGATATTATAGTGTATAGCACACAATGTACAATGGCAGCCAGCCACAGCCATATTAGAATTTTATTACACAGCCCTCGCAGGGTAACCTATCACAAAGTCGAAAATTTTTTTGTCCGAAATAACGTTTGTTCGAATTTTCATTACTCAGAAAACCGAATTACAACGAAACAGTTGTTCTTTCAAGATATGTTGAATGTTTATCGCAAAGACACGATTAGGTTCGGTTCGGTTAGGTTGTTAGGTTTAAAGGAAAAAACATTTTCCTCTGAAAATTACTTTCGAGGTTATGAAATTTCGACCAAACGTTATTTCTGGAAAATGTCATTTCTGATTGCTGATATGTAACCCCAGCGCAGCCATGACAGATAGCAAAATTTTGGTCCATTTTTTTTTAAATGAGAATATATGACTTTTCTTTCATAGAAAATACTTAATAGTTATATATTTTTATTTCTGTGAAAGAAAACATTATTCATAATTATTTTTAAGTATGTACATTATTACTAAAATATAATTTTTATATTACGGAACGCATTTTTTCTTTCGTAAGAATATCGCCTGTGGTAACTAGATGGTGCTGTCGTCTTTAAAATTTATTCTTCGTATGGAAGAAGAACCAGCATGACTGGAGCTCAAACTAAGCAGAGCTTGCGATGAGTCTCCAGGTACCTTTGCTATAGTCAAGTAAGTGGTCCTCTGATGGTGAGAGTATTGAGGATATATATAATTTATACCTAAATAATAACTAAAAGAAATTATTGGTATTCTGCCGTCTGCTAACTTTATTTTTATTTTTATTTTGTTTTTTTTTTATTTTAATTTTAATTTTATTTATTAAGACGCGGCTAAATGACAAAATCATTTTTTGAGATATCATAAAAACTATAATCCCGTTTTCAGAATATTGAAATTGTTTAATGAAATTTCAGCTGTGCATCGTTTTTGAATTTGAAACACATTAACTAATTTTAACTGTTTTTAAAAGAAAATTTTGTGCTCTACTTTTTGCTATTTAAAACGGATATTTGACCACTTTGCCACTTAGCCGCGTTTTAGTCTGTGGACGGCAGTATTATTATTATTGAAATGTACTTACGTGTAAGTTTTGACTGTACCCACTAATTTTTAACGTCAATCCTTTATCAGCAACGTACAGAGAGTGTGCTAAGTCCGCCATATTCGCCGGATACACTTCTTCCTATAAAAATGCATAACGTTTATTGTCATCTTATTTTATCTAAATTAAATTAAAATGCTTCTTGCCCGTGGACCACCTTCCTGGTTCACCTGGATGGACCACGGGCAATTATATCTTCTTGTGGTTAAGAAATATAGAAATAAAGAAGACAGTTTAAATTCGGATCAATTAGTGCAAGCCACCAGTGTCTGCAAAACTTTATTAGAAAAAAAGTTAAAAAATAAAATAGTAACGTTTATATTTAAATAAATAAGAATTAGGCATAAAAGGGCAATAAAATTAACGTCTTTTAACATCGACTTAGCCTTACTCAACGTTTATAAATATGTAATTAAACAATTTTGCTTCTTTTTAAAATTTTGAAAACAAAGCCGAAGCAAAATTAAAAAATTAGAAGTGTTATACTTATTACTGTTGAACACACTTTAATAAATAAAAAACTTTTTAACTGAAGTTTACGAAATCCACAAGAAAGCAAAATCAACTTTGAATCATTCGACAAACCTGGGGGTCTACTTTCATTCTCTGTCCGACATTCATCCGCAACAATAATAATTACTTTCAAATAAGTAATACTCGACCCAAAACTGTCTCTGTGGCCGAACGGTTATCATTGACAGGGGACTGCCACGCAGAGGTCCCAGGTTCGATTCCCGGGCCAGGAGAAATATTTATATGGCCTACATTATTTCTCTCGTGAGTTTGGGTGTAATTTGTGGTTGTCTATGTGTGTGTCCATGGCACCCGCGACACAGGGTTTCCCTAGTGCGGGGCTATGTTGAGTGTGTGCGTTAATTAAAAGGCAATGTCATCCAAGTTTCATTCGCATCTAGCGTCTTTTAAATTGGTTGAGCATTACTCATTTGACAGTAATTGTTTCGGGATGTCGGACGGAGAACTAGAGTACAAGGCCTGTATAGGAAATTCAAACAATGAATGTAATGACATTAGACTATTTTTTTTATTTTCAAATTAGACAAAAAATAAAAAAGGAAAATCACTGAGAAGTTTAAAAAAATACTGCATTATTAACCGACTTCAAAAAAGGAGGAGGTTCTCTATTCGACTGTATTTTGTTTTGTGTATAATTTACGCGATTACTCCGGTATTTCTGAACCGATTTTGAGGATTCTTTTTTTGTTGGAAAGAGGGTACCTCAGTATTGGTCCCATTTAAATTTAAGAAAAGTCACATTCCACCTCTAAGGTGATGAATCAGGTGTTGCGCATTTTCCAGTGACGATTACAATAAAACTAGGCAAATAGATGAAATTTTACGAACTTTTGAAGTCGGTTTAGAAAAAAAATTACAATTATTTTGGAGTATATCTATATTTATTTATTAATTAGTTATCTATAAATTAATATGAATTTATTACCTTAAGGCCCTGTTGCAGCACGTCAGTCCAAAGATCGAGAAGGCATGCTCTGGAAACAATGCAAATAGATGTTTATTACGCAATTTTAAAAAAGGTCTAAAACCATTAAAACATACTGATTTTCTAGTTAACGCCCCCAACCGGCTGGTATTGCGCTAATTCAGTGGAGTTTTATATCATGTTTTGGCCATCTTCTTTTATCGTTTTATCTATTCCCTCCCCTTTCCCTCCCTTTTGAATCCTGGATCCCTTTTGAAATCTTGGGATTATTCAGAGCCTTCAGACATTTGGTATTTTGAGAATCTCGCATTCTGCGAATCTGACATAATAAACATAAAGCGTCAAAACGTAACGTTTTATTTCTTTCTAAAAAAATTGTAATTTTGTTATGTTGTAAAGTGTTTACATACATACATCATAGTTATATGTAAAATACTAACAACCTCGCAGCTGTTAGCAATATAGCAAATATAAATAAAAACATTTCTCCCGGCCCGCGAATCGAACCGGCGAAAGCGATGAAAACCGTTCGGCCACGGAGGCAATTAACAAGGCACTTTGTTTGCCTATTCTTATAAGGTTTTTCTTAACATCTTACTCTCTCGGTGATTTTAGGCTGAGAGGCGTGATGAAGTAGAAGTAGAGAAGCGCAGTGGGGAAGCGGAATTTAAAGTCAGGCTTGTACCACAACTCCATGTGACGGTTTTTGCGGAATAAATTCGGTTGGTCCAACCTGTAACGATACGTTTACCTTTTTTATATGAAATCACGAAATAGCTGAAAAATTCAATGCAATGTATACTTCATTAGTATTACAGTTCAATATTTATGAAACGGAAAATGTCGTTTAGCAATTGCTTGAAAATCTATGTAGCCACTGACAATATTCTAAGCTGTTAACGTTGTAAATTTTGAATTGATGATGATAACTTTGTTTGATTATAAAAACTTCAATAATTCAAATATACAATGTCACACAAAATAATAACGCTATTGCTATACAATTAAGTAAACATTTTCATTCGCAAAAGAGGTCAATATTCGCGAGCAAGGAATCTAAAATATGAAATAATTTATTTTTTTATTTTCGTTGTAATAAACAATACAATCGGCAACTTCCGTAAAATTGAGATATCTCTAAAGCTTGAATTTTAAAATATGTTACATGTGTACTTCATTATATATAATTATGATACATATAGAGTGTATAATAACCTCCACTTCACTGAAATTCCGGAACAATTCAATATAAAGAGTAAAAAATGAAAACTAAATAGCTTCATTTTTAATTATAATCATGTTTACGGATACGCCGCAAGAATTTGACATCGTCGAAGAGGTTCTTCGAAAAAGAAATACCTCACTGCTGCCTTAACGTTGGCGTTTTCGATCAATATTGACTAACTACACTCTTCGAAATTGACACTGGCCCACGCCTACGCTGAGTTAGTGAGAACTTTATATTTATATATGAACTTTATATTTATATTTATATTTATATATATATATATATATATATATATATTATATCTAGTACTTAAAGCTACAAACTGGACAACAGCGGGCGGCGCCGCGATGGCGACAGCGCCGCGTTTTGCGGCTTGCTCGGCTTGATCAAAATGCCTAAGTTTGCATATCGATGGTGGAAATATGAAATGTCGTAAAGGAAAATGACCTTACGACAAAATATTCCTTACGACATTTCAAATTTCCACCGTCGAATTGTTGTTCTCGACGGCAGCGGCGCAGGCGACGGTACACGAGAGTCGTGCTCCAATTGAGCGGTGAATGCACGTTCGAATAGTTATAATGCCGTCTTGTTGCTTACCCACACCATGTCGCCAGAGGAAATTTCAGCAGTTTTAGAAATAGTATAAATGGAAGGATTCTTAATCACTATAAAGAGAAGAATAGAGATAAAATTCGCTCATAATTAGTGTGACTCCAATTCCGGCTTGATATTTACAAGAATATAGTTACACATTTCCATGGTCATTCTAGCATTATCGTAGATCCCATCAGGATTTTGTCTTTGGTCTTCGTAATGTCGGCGAAACCCGCCTTTATGCTTCCTTTGTTTGTAGTACGTGTACATCTCTTCTTGCGACCATAATCACTCATATTGAAATGAAAGAATTAGATACCATAAAAAGGTCACGTCATAGTTTGTACACTCAACAGTCATCAAGCTATATATTTTTGTTCGAATATCGTCTCCAGTGCAACGGAACAAGATCCGTCTTTGAGTAACTTGAAGCCAGATTTATATTTGTCTGACGTGTCGTGTCGTGACGCGTCAAAACGGTATCAGTTTCATACATACAACACAAGCCGTTAGATTGCAAGACACTAATTAAATGTATGAAACCCATACAGTTCTGACGCATCACGATACGATACATCACGCAATTGTAAATCCGACTTAATGTGCTGCCATCGCGCCACACTCTCGTTACGTCACATTACCGCCGCAAAAGCGATGTGCTCGCTGACCTCAAAAACAGGCCACTATGCTGTCGGCACTCCGCCGTCACTCACTGTCGTCCAATTTGTGGCTTAAAAGGATTGTTAATTAGGAATACATACCTAAACTCATTAACGGTGGCAATTAGATCCCCCTTTGTAAAGGTAACGGATTCTGACTCAGTTGCTTCAGAACGCTGGTATATCTCTTTGCCCGTGCTTTCTTTCAGATCGACAGATAATTCATCTGCTGCTGTCAGGTACTTTTGATCACCATGAATCAAGCTGAAGTCCGTAGTGATGTAGACATTCTTATTGGGAAGATGTAGAGTCATGTATGGGTTGACTCTTGCCCATTTGTCAAGCCATTGCTTTGGGATATCTAGAATAAAATATTTAATGTAAAATTAATACAAGTAGCTCTCACTGTAGAACACGGTCGCCACTACGGAGAGTTTCGGCCAGGTTGCCTATCACAGGCCAGAAACATGATATACAGAATTGTGTTTCTCCGAAAACCTTTCGGCTTTTATTGAAGATTTAGTTTCAATTATTAATACAAAGATCGAAAACTTAGAACGAATTCCTTCGATCCGGTTGTATTCGAACCAGCGTCTCCTAGTAAACCGTTATGCCAACTAAGCCACGAAACGAACCAGCGGACCTTACGAATTTTTTACGCGCTTGTTGCAGACCTTTGTTATGGTTTTTTAACGACCTTTTTGCCGTAGCGCCGCCTGTGAGAAATATATTTCTTCACTCAACCAGGTACCTTTACAGCTGCCAGCAGCTGACTAGAGATGTCGCTTTAATTATTGTAATTAAATTTTATTGAATGTGAGGATGTTGTTTCATTTGTCCGAATTTACGTCACGATTTTTATCATTAAGGTACACCATTCAATATGTCACTATTTTGACACATTGACAAGTTATTTGTATCCCGATTCTCATTTCCCCAACAATTCATTTGACTAATGTATAGAATTTAATATTTTGTATAAAAAACGATATCCATAATACATATTTTTTTGTTTTCACATCGGATTCAAATCAATGATGATAAACGATAAATGAAGTTTATAAATTATTTCATTCAAAAACTAAGATAATTGTTTAAAGCATGTTCGGAAATGCAAACAAATTCACTTCTGGCACTACGGTCGCTTCGCTCGCTCGGCTTGTGCTGCTTTTTCTAATTAACTTAGAGGGGGACGCACCCAGGTTTGATCCTGCCCTGGGGTTGTACTTTTGGATTCATTTGCTTTTATCTACGAAGAAAAATTATTTTGTCGAAACGTATATTCAGAAATCTAAACTACAGAATATGGAAAACCGACAGTAGGATAAATATGAATTGACCAAACAAACTTCTGCCACAAGAATACATATTATATAATTATTGCGATAATAGTTTTTCGGACAAACGACACTTCTGCTATAAGATATTTCTGTGTAAAAAACACTAATGGCGTTAATGAGAAAAAGTCGAACCATGTCCGGAATAATGAGATTCGGAAATTCGTGTTTGTGATAGGTTTGTTTTCGGCCAGCTATACTCAATCTTTTACATAGATTGACTTCCTGATTATTCACTAATTTATTATCACTAATTACAGGTTACATCACAAGTTATCGAGATGAAGGTAGTCGTCGACAGCGAAAGAGGGTAGACAGATAGTATGTTCTTAAGACTCTCATCTACCGCTGGTAAGTCAACTTGAGACCATGGAGCGTGTAACTTTTCCGAAATATCGGGAGAATAACAACAAATCATACCGTGCTAAGAAACATGTCATTAGTGGTACATGGCAACACATATAACGTAAAGTAAACATGTCATCAACAATTATTCCCTCGGGTCTCATACATATGTTTGTTATTCAAAATTAGTCAGTAGGGACTTAGTTTTACATTTACTTCCCATGTAATAAATAAAACACAAAACCTAAATGTATCTCAATATTTTTTATAGAATAACTACGAAAGCCCTGTATCGCGGGTGCCATGGACACACACTCACACATAGACAATCACAAATTACACCAAAACTCACGAGATAAAAGCCTCAAAAATATTCATCCCGGCATGGGAATCGAACCCGAGACATGTGCGTGGCAGTCCAGCATGGTAACCGTTACAAAAATAAAGATAGTCGGATACAACGATGATGATTACCTATTATATTTTTACATACCTTTGCGATGGTATTCGGTGCCAAACCACTTTTCTTTTAGGTCATAGCTAATCGGCGTCGAATGCTTGTTCGACAGGATCATTATGTTCACTGTATCCGCTCGCATATAATCCAACAGTTCTTTGATTGCCTAGTACATGATAAAAATAATTGTTTCGTAAATAGTAAGTTTACGTGACTGTTCATAATGAAAGGCTTTAAAATACGAGTGTGGGTTCATAAAAACATCCACGAGTGTTTTAATGCCTAATTATGTACAGTTACATACACTGCTTTATATATACACATATTATAAGCTCTCTATGATGTGTTCAGGAACCGCATGTTACGACAGGCGAAATGACGGCAAATAAAACTTTTCTCACGCATGTCACACAACCTTAGTTTTTATTTAATTCATGGACAAACTAGAGTCGGCCCCAACTATCATATCGTTTGATATCAAGTAACGTGTGAAATTTGTCAAAATTGTTTGCTATTGACATTTCATTTCGAATAAAACTTCATCTCGACTGATATTAGAATTGAGGTCGAATCAAATTTGTTTTGTTTTTTAGAGATGTTCAAAATTTCAATGTAATAATAAAATAGAATTTGATGTTATTATGAAGCAATCACATTTTCACAGATAAGAAATTTGTTCTAAGAAAACAGTATATCTTTGCTTATCGTATGCTGGTCGTAATTTGCGGTTTTTTAACACATAATAGACGGTTTGTGATATGTCTGTAGATAAAATATGTTACTATATTGAACCTGTGTTTATTTATTTATTTTGTATGTTATAGATAATATTTCTTTTACCATTATTATTGGCACTCTATCGACACACAACAGAGATGATATAAAATTAGCAGAATTGGGGCCCTGGATGCGTCTCTAATATTTCAATTGAAGGACTTGAGTGAACGTCATGAAATAAATTTTAAAAAATCCTGACGCCGTTCGATATTTAAAGAATATTGATTGGTTCAAGCACCTCATGGTATTTCAATGTCATTAACCGCCATGCTTCATAAACAGTATCATAATTAAAATATTCCAATTACCTGCGGATCGTATTTATAATACAATCTATCGCCAGTAATGTAATGTTCAGGGGGGTAAAAGTGCATGTTCTCTACTAGATTCTCGACGTACTCAGACGGTTGGGATTCTTCTTCATAACGGAAGCTTGTGTCTTCAATCGTTTTTATTTCGTCGAATATCCGTTCCGCTGGACCGAGCCGACGGAGCATGTTTATATAGGAGAATATTGATTCTAGAACCTGGAAAGGAAATAATCGAGCTTTATTGCAATAAAATTCAAGCGAAAATATTTTAACCCTTTGGCCGCCGTTTTAACTTGGCTGATACTCGTACGCCAATGACGCCTCAAGGCGTCAATGAAACACTTTGATTTTCAATTGAAATTAGCAAATAAATATTAAGATACACCTTGTGTTATTTGTATATTCTAGTTAAGTATAGATTCATAATTAATTTTTTTTATTGAATGTCAGGATGTCTCACCACCATATTCAATTATTTTTTGTGAAATTACTCCACTAGTCTGTTATAATTATTAATGGATTCATAGTTGCATTTTATGTTCTTCTTTGACTTAAGAGAACTATATTAATATAAGATGGAAAATCATAACGTGTAACATCACTATGGTTTGGCGTCTAGGGAACTAAACTAAACCAAACGAAACTAAACTAAACTAAACGAAACTAGTTTTTTCAGTGGCGGTGAAAAGGTTAAAAAAGATACTAAATACAATATTAAACTTTCGCACACTTTTACACTTTTAAACCTGGCCGAAAGGTCGGATTAATTAGGTAGGTGTGAAAGCATCCATTAAATTGTTTAATCGCTTTTTCAGTTGCTTATATCAATTATGCCATTACAAAGACGATACGAATTTAGTTTTTAACCGTATTTGGAAAAGGAAGAGGTTCTCAATTCGTCCGTATTTTTAAGAATCTATACAAACTCAAATGGCTTTGGTTGATTCCACATAACAGTGAAAGTGTTGAATCAATCACTTTGAAAAAAATATTACACTGATTATTATACGGTGTGAAAACAAAATTCCTAAAAATTTTCACGACAGAAAAAAAACACACTTCAAAATTTTACAAGAAAACCGCTGTATACAATAGGTACTTTTTTTATAGAACACGTATAGTATTCGATAATAATAATAAACATTTTCGAAATGGCTTCAATTTCGTTAGTAAAAAAGGAAATTCTGAAATCAAGCCAGTGTTTCTGCCACTTGACCCAAGCAAAATGAACCGTATTAGTACGGGAAAAATTTGAATTCAAGCTGAGGTAGTGTAGATTCTTAAGTAACAACTACGACATTGTGAACCGATTTCGAGAATTCTTTTTTGTTGGAAAGGGGTATCTCAGTAGCGGTCCCATTCGAATTTGAACCATCTCTAAGTGTGACAAATTACGGGATAAATTCGTTATATTGAATACAACCCACTTTCCATTAACGGATTTCAATAAAACATATTATGTGGAATTTAAATTAGGTATATATATATAATTTCAATAAGAAAGAAGATATCCATAATATTAACCTTAGAGCTAAGTCCAAACTCATGGTACCACGATTTCGTTTAACCAAGATAAACAACTCTTTTATGGGGAACTGTATACGTTTTTACAATAAGATTCCGGAGCATATATTAAGTTTATCATTTCCTAAGTTTAAAACCTACATTAAAAATATTTTGATCGAAAAATCATATTAGAAAATGGAAGACTACGTATTAGATAAAGATGTATGGAAAGACGACATGGCTCCAGAATCCACACAAATTTGATTCAAAGTGTATTCCATAGCATTTAAGTTTACTTTAAAAGAGCAATCACTAGAGTTTCTTGCTCGTTCTTCTCAGGGAGGTTAGCGTAGTGAACGAGCAGTAGCTTAAATGTGACGTTATCAAGTGTAAATTTATTTTACCTATGGAATTAATAATCTTTGACTTTGACATACCCTACAATTATCATGAAATAACACTGTGCGACCGTACAACAAATACAGCAATTATTTTAAGTAATGAATTTAATTATTTTGTAATTACATTGAGAATATGTATAATAGGCTCATTTGAATCATTTAATATTTTTGTGCAGTGTTCATTATTAAGGTTACTCCCCACTAGTCAACCCGCTCGAGCACTGTGTCCATACTAAATGTGTTTCATATGGACAAGACGCTTCAGTATCAAGAGTGTCGACGAGTGGGGGGGGCAACCCTTAAGGGTATAAACCTACTTGGTCAACGTGGCTGAGTCCCTCCTGCGTAAGTATAACTTGCGTAGAGAAGAGGCTGTACATCGACGTGTAATCGATGCCGCTCTCCGAATTGCCCGTGTAGATCCCCAGCGCCCATACTCTGCAATGCATTATGAACTTTATAGTTGAGGACTTTATGTTTATTCCGTCTACCAGTAATTTATGAATGATGAATCATGGTTCATTCAGGTTATTAATGAATGCAGTAGGAAATTGAAACTGACCAGACTATTGGATAGAAATTTGGGAGTTACCACTCTTACCGCCAAGGAATCGCATTAAGCCCATCAGAAAAAGCTTTATGTCCTTGCAATTACAGTGAAAAAGAACGTTGTGAGTTTCGCATCGCCTTCCTCCGTCCTTCTTATTGTATGGATAAAGGTTTTCCAGCCAGATTAATTAATAAGTGTGTTAACTACCTTTTGACCAGTTTGAATTTCCCTTTTCGTTTTAAAATTGTGAATTAACCACAATGAATAATAAATTATTATATTTCATCTAACGTAATTTAACGTTTTAAATTGACTTAAATACCGCTGGGCACAAAAATTTAAAAAAAAGCCTTTATGACAAAAAATGCATAAAGAATACATACGGTCGACAGTCACTGTAAAAGAAAATGTTTCTAAATATACAAAGTATGCTGCAATCACAGGAATGACGTCTCACGTACATACGGCTTCTTATATCGAACTTCAGTTCTTCTAGTACCCGCTAGAGGCGTCGCATAATTTGCCACACAAAAACATATACATTTAGCAGAACAAAAAAATAAGAATATAAAATAGTAACGTTTATATTAAAATAAATAGGAATTAAACATATGGTAACAATAAATTAACATCTTTTACCATCGACTTAGCACAACCGTTTTTTAAGTCAGAAAATCCTCATAGATACCGCCCGAGGGAAAACAAGGGTGAAAATTCAAAATTAAATAAAAAAAATACGATTTTGTTTAGATTTTGTGACAAAGCAGATACGGTTGAAAATTTAAACTTTTAATTGTAACAGTTTATTAAATGAAAGTTTACCGAATAAAACCACTTTTTAAATTAAATTTCTAAGTAATTTACAAGAATGCAAAACAACCTCGAACCACTCTACTTGTATTAATAGAAAATTAAAACAAATTTATGGAAAATTTACAGTTGACTAATTCTTTATTTTCAAATTAGACCTGAAATAAAAAAGTAAATTAACCGGCCACACTTTTGAAAAACACTGCGTTACTTTGAGGATTTTACTTGTGTTCCGCTAAAGGTGCCGGTCTTATGACGCTACGGTTGCGGCATAATCTGTCGAACAGTACACGGGCACTAAAGTCATAATACACGAAACTACAGCTTACAGTTAGGTAGCATTGATAAATACGTACTTTCTTCTCAAGTATGAGAGCAAACTTCCTTTGCCCTCGTGCCCGAGTAGGTATGAAATGTACTGGTGCGGTTTTGATTCGTAATCATTGACCAGGGATCGCATACACCAAGTCAAGTGTACCTGTACAAAGAAATATACACTAAAAAGTGTGTATTGCCATAATTATATGGTCGGTGTTTCGTAGAAAGGACGAGAGCGCCATTTCGAAAAATTTTTTAGTAGAAATGTTCTAGGTTCTAACGACAGTTTTATAATATTTTCGTCCTGTTTTAAAATTCAATGTTGGTTTTAATTAAATTTTAGGTTTAACATTAAATTTAAAACAGGACGTAAATATCGAGTTCTTAGGTTTTCGTGATTGTTACACATAGAAAATGAATCTATTTTTCCGGATTTTAATCGCATTGTAAGTCAACCGTGACGGTGGGGCCTGTAAAGGGCCCGACTCGTTGATTTGTTTGAAAAAACAAATATACGCGATTTAAATCCGGAAAAATAGTTTCATTTCTTAGAACGTAACTATTTTAAAACAGTCGTGAAAAACTAAAACATGCACTCCTGATTTTTTTTAATGGCGCGTTCGCCCTTTATACAGAACACCGACTATATAAAAAAATACCACTAAAGATTAAATTATTACATTTATGGTTATTTAAAACGTAGTTATACAAGTGGTTAAATGTAAACAATTTTTATGACATAAATAAAATATTTAACAGGAAATAAGATGTAAAATTTTGTCTCGATTTTTATCTATATTTGACATGTTATTTTAATCTAAACTGTATTTTTTATTATTATATTCGTAATGTAACAAAATGTAAAGGCAAAAGCAGCGACTGAGTGCTATGGCACTTAGCCGCTAATTTGTCATAGCAATAACTACATGCATAATGGAACTTGTATTGTTGTGACTTGCATTTCAAATAAATAAATAAATAAATCATTATTGACAAATTTAATTTGTAACTTGTGACATGATTAGAGGGGCACTGCTACATGAGACATGAGTTGACAAGTCCCATGTGCATGTAATTTCACCATAGGGTGCCGTCAAATTAGTCTCTTATATAAAAACTACAATGGCGCCACTGTGGCGCTGCAGATTAGTGTCGGCGTTCCAAGCCACGGAAAGTCGAGGAATACCTCATAATAACACACCCCAATGGTGTCTTTTAGTTGCGGATGTCAATATCCGGTTTGGTTCACTGCGCCTGGACATCCAAATAAACAAAATGTCGTCAGATATTGATTATTAAATTTGTGTAGTACCTCAGTAGTGTCGCTAACAGGTTTCATATAGTAAATACTATTAAATTCTGGCTGAATGAAGTTCTTCTTGAAGTGGTATTGTGAGAAGTCATCCGCCGGCAAATTGTTCGTCGGGATCTGGGAGAATGTTGATACCACGTAGTGCTGTAGAGTATCTAGATCCATGCGTGCCTGAAAAAAGATTTGTTTAATCGGTCATTAACTTCAGTTGCGTATATTTTTAACCGACTTCATAAAACGAGGAAGTTCTCAATTAGGTATTTTTTATGTGTATGTTACGCGATTGCATTTGTGAACTGATTTCGAGGATTCTTTTTTGTTGGAAAGGGTGTACCTCAGTAGTATCTCATTCAAATTTGAAGAAAATATTCCACCTCTAAGGGTGGCAAAGTAGGGGATTAATCAGATATATCAAGTAGGATTAATACTTAAAGTGCGTGAAATCCAATATCACGCACTTTCCGTAAACCGATTTCAATAAAACGTGGCAAATAGATGTAATTCCACAAACTTTTGAGGTCGGATTTTTTTTCACAAATAAGTTACAATTGACATCAATAAAACTGCCACTGGCAGATGCCTGCAAGTTCGAATCTAAATACCGCAGAGGTCAAGCGGTTTGCACGACGGGAGATTCCGGGTTCTAGGTATTCCCTATTCCCGGAAATATTAGTTAGTTTGAGCATTGTCAAAAGTCAACGAACCAACACATTGATCTCCTTTCGGGTGAGTTAGCTAAAGTGAAGTTTTTAAAAGCCAGAAATGTACGTACCTGTATAGCAACAGTCATCCTATGCGCACTATAATGCCTCTTCCTAAACTCATGCGCAGCTTGGTACAACTTTTCGTCATCGTTGATGTCATCGCGCAGGCTCTTCAAGTTACCCCAAGTGAAGGTACGCGCAGGGTGCCCCGGCGGAAATAGACTGCTTATTAGCTGGTCTTTTCGGTTCGAGTCTGACGGAGAGGCGATGGCAAACTCTGGAAAGATGAGAGAAGTCCATAAAGACGTTTAGTCTAATATATTTATTTTAATAATAAATAGAAACAATATAAGACCCATAGTTCGTTTATTTTTTAGCATGAGGCAAAAGACAATTTTGTGTCTAAGTAAAGCAATTTAATAAATACCGGGAAACAAAAGTCTTAAACATACTTACTACCTTTCTGTAATTACTCGTAATGTTTACTAAAGATTTAAATTAAAGTTTTTATATCTTTCATACTTAATTAATGTCAAAGATTTGCACTAATAAAAAATTACAAACACAGGCATTAAAAAACTTTTTTTATAAAATATATATATAATAACATACATATAATGTCATTTGTCATCAATTCTCACGATGTTTTAGTTTACTGTAATTCGATGGCTAAAAATAAAGTTTTACCATAACTGCTTTTTTCGTTTACAATTTTTCTAATTCTAAATTTAACTGCCTCCGTTGCCGAACAGTTACCATGCTGGACTACCACGCAGAGGTCCTGGGTTCGATATCCGGGCATGGAGAAATATTTGTATGGCCTACATTTATTTCTCTAGTGAGTTTGGGTGTAATTTGTGGTTGTCTATGCGTGTATCCACGACATCCGCCACACAGAGTTTCCCTAGTGCGAGGCTGACTGTGTGTGTGTGCCTTAAAAAAATTAGGAAAAAAAACTATTTCGTTCATCAATTTTTATACCTTCCCTAGTAATGCTTTCCAAAGTTAGTTATTTGGTTTTAAACTGTGGTTTAAAAAAAAATTACAGATCAGTACACATGTTTACAAAAAAATCGCGAACGCACCCAATGCCAAGTCCAATAACCGTGTCATTCATATTTAAAACTAAATCTTAGTCAAACCGTGATATAATGAGACCAACTATATTATTATGATAAAAAGTGATTACCGCCGCCTATAGGCTTTGCCGGCCATGGGACAGACCTCTGGTTTGTAGCGTAGTACTTGGTAATGTAGAGAAAGTTAGTTAAATGTGTTCTTTTTCACATAAAATCTATTTTTTTTATTTTAAATATTCGCAACCTCACCTGAGGTAATGGACGATGGGGCCGGCTATTTTACGCATTTAATTTGTGTAGTTAACGTTTTGTAAATTATAAATACGGGATCGATTCCCGATAGGACCAATTTGGGAAATTAACTTTTCTAAATTGCTTAGGATCTGGGTGTTGTGTTAAGTGTCCCGGAGTGAATTCTGTTACTCTGGTACTCAAAATACAGGGAATTCGCTAGTTTGAGACCATGTAATTGGTGAGTCTGTCTGGCATATTATTATTAATGTCTAAATGAAAAAAAAAAAAAAACTTAATCCTTCATTTCACTGCAAATGCATTCATTTTAAAACCTACGTAACGCAATATGTAACGTAAGAAAATAATATTTCAATTTCCCGTTCCAATAATTACTCAAGTGTTTAAGTCCAATGACTAAATTGATTGACGTAATTTCATAATCACGTTTTTAATTATTTCACCAATAAAAAAACTACGAACGTGTGTAGTTTTTCTTAAAAGACTTAAAGTAGTTAGTGTGTGATAGAATTTTTTTTTATCTATAAATGGCATATAAATGTTTTATCGATGGTTGGTTAACTACCGAAAAAGCCTGAAACTTTGTTTTGTTTGAAAAAACAAATACACGCGATTAAAGTCCAAAAAAAAGATTCATTTCCAAATTCAAATATTATCACCAGGGACTGAGAATATTTCGCCTCAAATTTGTTTTGATTAAAAAAAGGTTAAATGTAAAACATCGCTGTTATAATCACGCCTTTATGCAGAGTATTTTATAAATATCATAATAAATATGTAACAATAAATCAAAGAGTTAATAAACATAAAATATGTACAAACTCGCGTATACATATATACATAGTAGTACATCACGACACCGCTAGATGGCGTTAGCGTCGAAATAAAACACGCTATCAGTTTGTTACTGCGTACAACACTAAAGTATCCGGGAATTCGAGTGTAGTTGATCTTTCTAAAGGTTAAACGGGGGATGATGATCGGATGGGACACGCGTCTGCGTGATGTCCGCCACCGAATGTTACGCATTAGGCGGGCCAAAATCCTTCTGACCCCTAACTTTTCGAAAGATCGCTATTAATTCAGTACATAAGTATAAGAGATATATAAAAATATTCCAAACTTAGTAAAAGCAACATAAATACTAACAAATAAACGAATTGCTTTTCATTTTTGAAAGTAATTATGAATTTGGAAAAACATATACAGGGCGTCACACGGCTATAGGACATGGAGGGAAAGTACTTTAAATTAGATAGAATATTTTGCTTCTTGAAGACATTATTTTATTTTAAAAAGCATCAAAGACTTTTAAAAAGTTGCCTCAGCTAGGTATCGAACCGACCAAATGTGAAAATATAAGTATATAATATACGTGATATATATAATATGATGAATCACGTATACTTATATATATATATATATATGATATAAATAATATACGTATATATATATATATAAGTATACGTGATTTAAATCCGAAAAAATAGTTTAATTTCCAATCGCAAAAACCTAAAAACTCGAAATAAATATATTTGTTTTTAAGCTATTTTATTCATTCAAGTATTCAAGTATTCAAGTATTTATTTGCAACTAAGTGTACAATTAATACATAGTAGGTCTTATGCTAATTTGTGCTTATAACTTAGTAACCCTTTATTCAGGTATTGCAAATGTAGAGTAGAGGGCTATATTTTACTCTTAAAACTAATAAATTTAACAATTAAACATTTCTATTACTAATATTTATCGCAATTACAATAGATTTAAAAGATAGGTACCTAAATAATAATGTTTTAATAATTATTTATCATTCAAGTATTCGTAAAGTGTGTAGAAGCTTTTATCTATTAAATACTGTTTTATCTGTTTATTGAATGTTTTTAAATTTTGTTCATTTTTAATATGTTGAGGTAATTTATTATATATCTTGATGGCCATGTAATACGGGCTGCCACTTAACATTTTAATTCTTGATGATGGTAAGCATAGTTTTTCTTTATGTCGAGTGTTTATACTATGGACATCCTTAAATTTAGTAAATGAATTTAAATTTCTATAAACGAACAAACATAGGTCGTGTATATATATAGATGTTAATGTCAATAAATTGAATTTTTTAAAGTACGGTTTACAACTTTGTGTGTTATCTATTTGTGCTATTATTCTAATGCATTTCTTCTGCATTAAGAATAATTCGTGGGCATTCACGCTGTTACCCCATAGCATTATACCATATTTAAGCCATGAATAGGCATAGGCATAGTAGGCTGTGAGTGCAGTTTCAGTGTTTGTGCTGAGATTAATTTCGAACAAGGCGTATGTGAATTTTGAAAGTTTTGTCTTTATTTGGTCTATGTGAGTTTTCCAGTTGATATTAGTGTCTATATGTAGTCCAAGCAAATTAAAAGTGTTCACTGTCTCTATTGATGTATTTTTAAATATTATGTTTATGTCCTGAGGTGCTTTTGAATATGGTCTGAATTGTATGATTTTAGTTTTCTTGATATTTATTTCCAGATTGTGTTTTTCAAGCCAGTGTGCTACTATCTCTAGTGTGTTGCTGATTAGTGAATTGGGATCTGAGCTTTTATCGCATTTAATGAGAATTGAGACGTCATCTGCAAATAGTATGGGCAGTGATAATTCTTTGTTAAGAATTTTTGGGAGGTCATTTATATAGATCAAAAAGAGCACGCAGCCTAGTACACTTCCCTGTGGGATAGAGCAGGTCATGTCTCTTTCTTCTGTTGTTACTATTTCTATTTCATTAGTCATATTATTATAGTATTGAATTTGGACTATCTGTTTTCTATTTGTTAGGTATGATCTGAACCAGTTATAGGCGGTACCACGTACGCCTGAACCATATAATTTGGACAAGAGTATTTTATGTGAGACTTTATCATAAGCCTTTGTCATGTCTAGTAATATACCTAGAGCATTCTTTTTATCATTTAGGTATTGGAGGGCAGCTTGAATATATTTGTATACGGCTAAAGTAGTTGATTTGGTTTTCCTAAAACCATTTTGGCAGTCGTCGAGTATTTTGTATTTTTCTAAAAATGTGTAAAGTCTATTGCACATAGCTTTCTCCAGTACTTTTGAAAACGACGGTAAAATTGCTATGGGTCTATAATTTTTAGGGTTACTTGTATCGTCTTTTTTATGGGCTGGTTTAATCAGTGATATTTTAAGTAAGTTAGGAAAATCGCCGTCTCGGAAACTTTGATTTATTAGATATGTAAGTGGTTGAGATAGTTCGTCAGCACATTGCTTAAGTAACGATGGGGGTATCTCGTCTATGCCGTGACTATGCTTGTTTTTTAGCTGTTTTATAATTTTAATAACTTCTTGTTGTGTTACCGGGTGTAAATATAATGAATTTACAGGGCTGTCGATAACAGGTAGTCCTACATTAACCTCATTCTTATTATTATTTTCTCCAATAGTAGCAAAGTAGTTATTGAAAATTTCTGCGATCTGTATTGGACATTCAATCTCCTCGTTGCCAATTTTTAATTTCATGTTTTTAATTTTTTTATGACGTTTTTTCCCAGTTTTAGCGTTAATAATACCCCACATTGTCTTAATTTTATTTTCAGAGTTCTTCATTTGTTTTATGTACATCAGCTTTTTTGATATTTTTACACAACGTTTTAATGTTTTGGTGTATGATTTGTAGAAGTTTCTAATAACATTACTATTTGTTTCATTTACTAGAATACCTAGTGATCTTTTATGAATACACGACTTTTTTATACCTGTAGTAAGCCAAGTTTTTTTTGTAGTGTTCTTAATTTTTGTTTTTTGCACTGGGATGTGTTCGTTTAAATGGTGTTTTATTATTTTAAGGAATGAATTATAGTTATAGTCTATTTTGTTATTTGTATCTATGATGTTTTCCCAATCAAATTCTTTTAATGCATTTTTAAATGAGTTTATT